GGTGTGGGTGTTCAGTATGTACTAAAATAAGGTTATTCCATATGGGTCTGCATGGGGCCTAATGACAACTGGCATTTGTTTCACTTTACTACTACTACTAGCTCTTATCTTTCTGACATAATCTAGTCTCTCCTGAATTGAGGAATCATTCATTCAGGGCTGATGGCTTTCTAGAAGAATGGATGGTGAAGTGTACTAATATTGTGCCCCTGACTGCCTGTCCCTCTGTGAGTCTCTGTTGGGAGTTTCCAAAGAGCTTCTCTTCATAGCACCTGTCTTTGGTGGTGTATTTTGCTGGGAGTTAGGTCTTTGTCTCCAGAGACCACATGAAAGCATTACACTGGAGACACTGGCTTGCAGCTCCACATCCCTTGTGTGCAGGCTTCATATCTCTGTTCATTGGTAGGGAAGGACTAAAAGGGAATTTCTGCATTGATAGCTCCAGAGAGCCAGCTGACCCTGTGGGCTTGGCAACCAAAGCCATGTGGTAGACTCCATGAACTTAGGCTTCTATTTTTTGACCAGGAGAATGTGTGCCTCTTCCAGTGATCATTATTTGACAAGTTTTCTCACTAAACTACAGGCACCTTAGTGCAGGGATATTATTATTGTATTCTAGGCCCAGGCTATGCAACTGCTTGGGACATGGTAGCTGTGCAAATATGTACTGTAAGAGCTTGACTCAAGAACACAGATGGGACCACAGAAAATGGCAGTTGAGCAAAGGATTTCCTGTTCCCAGCACCATTTTTTTTTAACAGCCTTTTAGTGAATTCCTGTTCAGTGACCCCAAAATGGACTGACACTTTGGCCTTTGAGTAGCTGTTCTTGGTAATCTCATGAATTAAAATTTTCTGATTTTCTTAAGTTTTACAACTCAGGAATTACTTTAGAGAAATTCCCCTACTTCTTAATAATGTAGGAAGGTATGCAAACTTTTTACTAGTGCATTCCCAGGGCCTATACATTATAAAAGTGCCTTGCACATTTACATTCAAATAACTGGTCAACCAATTCATCTGTTATACATTTACAATACCAATGGAAATACTTCTCATTCTCAGTTTTCTTGTCTTGTTTTCTCCTTTGCTACCCACCATTGCTGTTGAGTCAGTCCTATCTCCTCAGTGTCTTCTGGAAGATGTGTGCAGCTATCAACTGATCTTCCAAACTACTTTAATTTGGTTCTTTCTAAAACAAACAAACAAAGAAACAATCAGGCAAATTGCCCAATAACAGGATTTAAACAGGACTACTATCTACATTTCTCACATATTTTGAATAGTTTATTCCCCTCCCTCTAGGGGACCATTCTCAAATCCAAATGTATTTCTGAGAAGTGTATTAAACTTGCAGAAAGCCAAAGGCTAAGGGATTCTGATTTTCAAGATACCGAATGGAGGCTGGCTCACAGTATTGGACTTCAAGCCATACAACAGAAAAGATGGCAAAAGTTCTTAACACTAGAACATCATCTACAGATAAAGCTAAGATTGTATGTTGTGCTAGTGAAATAATTACTCTCAAGTTCCATGATTTGGCATTCTACGAACACAAAGAAACCATGCAAAGTAAATTATGGAACATTTCCATATCCACCTTACCAAAACTGGCATGTGTCAATAACTGATCTAAAAACACACACACACACAAAATATAAATAATTTCCTAGGACAGCCAAATCTACTTCTCACTAAAGGTTTAGGAACCGATCACTTAAATTTGTGGATATTTTTATTTGTGAAACAACAAATAATGCTTTTCACTAAAGCTATATGTTCTAAATTGGAGACCATGAAAGAACATATTTGAGGAAATAAAACAAAAGGCCATTCCGCAGTCTCATGCTTGTCTCTTTCCTCAGTACCATTACACGTAAAATGACTTCAGAAGTAGACAGAATTCTGCTTTTATTCCCACCGATGGTTTGTGGAAAGCACCAGACATGAATTTTAAAGAATCACATGCATCAAAGGTTCTGAATGCCAGGCCTAACTTTAAGGAGCTATATAACCTTAAGTTTAGCCCAGTTTTTACTGTGGTCACCTTTTATTTTCAGTGCTTGTTCTACTGGAAGATCGATAAGCCAAGAAATATTAAATATTATCAACTATTAAGAACAACAAAGAAGGGTTTAAGGAAAGAATATATTTGAATCACATAAACAAACAAGAAGGTATTACATAAGAAAAAATAATGTAACAATTTATGTAAGTACCTAACATGAGCATGCTCTTATACCTAAAACAAAAGACAAAAAGGTAACACTGCTACTATATATATATATTTGACAAGTGTGCATTAAAGAAATCTCTAATATAAAACATTTAAAATGTGGAGAATACTTTTTCAAGATACAGAAAACAACTGTTAAGACAGGCACACCCACAATTCATAAACATGCTTGTGAAATAAAATGCCACTGAGCCCATTTCTCAGATAGAAAACACTGCAAAATTATGGATTACTGGATATTGCCTTTCATTTTGCATTGAGTTTCAACACTGATTGGTATGAATTCTCAATTACTGTCATTTTTCAGTTTTCCTGCATGAATGCATTTATTTAGTATGAATACTTAAAACAGCAACATTATTTGCATTGAAGTCATCTTTTGATGTCATTTTTTAATTTAAAAACGGCACTGTAACTAGAAAGTTTTTACACTTGATCTGAGTCAAAAGGCCAAGAAGCAATTAGAAAGTTTTTAATACAACATATAATGCTTTGGAAGATCTCAAACTCCCAATCAACGTGTTCCATCAACCATAAGTATGATCTAAGGAACCCTAACTTAAAAAAAAACCACAAATGTGAAAAGCTGGTTATGTTTAAAGATTATAAAATTGATTTATTGTAAAAGCAATTCAAGAATACCCAGTTAAAATCTTATTACAATGCTACCCAATACAACCAAGAAGCAGTTAAACACTTTTACATCAGGAACAAGGACATAAAACAAGAAAGATCACTTCAAGGCTGTGATTCAAACTAAGAAACAAAGGGCGCTTAGGTCTCCTTAAGGTCAGTACATAAGATACGATAAGATCAAGGCACTGTGTCAGTCAGGTACCACAGTGTTGCTACAACATTGAGGTATAAGTGAGCAATTAAATTCAAGGGCAAATAAAGATCTGCATATTCTTGTTTGTGGGTATACTTAAGTGACTAAAGAAACTGCTTTCAATGACAGCAAGATACAAGACAAGTCTTTATTGAAAATAGTTATAAAATTCTCTAGTAAGGTCCCACTAAATCTTCACAACCCACTCCCACCCGCCCACTAAGCTAAAGCTACTCTGCTGATATATATGATATGATCTTAATTTGTGGCTTACTGGTAAATTGTAGGCATTCCTCCTAAGGAGCTTTGATCTTCTGCACATTAAAAACAACAACATGCTGTAAAGTTCATATACTCAATTTTGCTTTCTAGGTAGAATTTCATTACTGCTTTAAAACTCAATGCATCTGTACAGCGGGTATTCCCCCCCACCTCCCTCCCTGACTTATCCGAGATATAATCTTTCTGCTGTTTTCTTAATAAAAGCCTTCGAGTCAATTTTTATGAGTGATTAGACCTATGAATCATTATATACAACACAATGATTGCATTATTTGAGCACTGAAAGTACTTAAAATGAAACTTCCACTTTTGCACTCCTCCAAGTTGAAGGGCCAAAATACTTACATTTAATAATTGAAAAAAATTCCATCTTCCCATGGCAAGGCTTTTCATAGCAGCTTCAGCTAGGAAAAGGGGTTTTCTGTCTGTTACAAACCCTTGAAAATAAGGGCTTCTAGAAACATTGAAAGACCCTTAAATCACAGAGGTTGCAAGCGGGTGCCACTATAATTCATAACCAACTACTACTTCATAGCTTATACTGAAGAGTTAATTCATGTTCATTTTGTTCCTTTAAAAATACTCTTTGGAAACCATTATTACTACTGTAGACACTCTAATTATATCTCCTCCTGTAAAAATAAAGGTATAATTATGATTATCTCTATTTCTTTGCTAATTTCAACTACCAATATACATTTCATCAATCTGATCACCTTACCAACTAACTCATGACCTTTCAATATTCTAAGTACTACTGGGGGTCAATTTTCAGCATAACTATAAGCAAGTCTTACAACAACAACTTTGCAGGTAAAACTTATATCTAGTCTTTAAAATGTTCATTACAAATGAAAACCAAAGTACTAGAATTTACTTCTAAGACAAAGGTAAAAGTAAACTTTCCAAGCTAAAGAAGGCAAACCACTATAAAGCTTATTTCTGTCATGTACGTGACAAACTTAGTTGTAAATTCCCACCAAGACTCAAAATTCATCTAGGGAAGTCCAAGGGGGAGAAATAAAGTCATTTCCTGTTTGTTCCTTTCCAACCCTTCAGATTCTACTTACTGTGTGTTCAAAGGGCATAGAGTATTTTCCTAGGCACTATGCATATGAACAGCCCTTTGTAGAATACTAAACTACCTCAAACATTTGCAGGTTACCCAATTAAGTTCGAACTACCTGTGAAATATAAACCGCTAGTAATGTACTCAAAATGCATACATTCAAAGCTACCATTTAAAAAGCAACTGCAAAGAAGAGACCTAAAAAGATACATTCTGCTATCACACTATTATAAACATTTGCAGTGTGCGTGTGTTTACAGAGAGAACAAATATCAAGATTTAAATAAGATGGTAAAAAACTAGGAAATGTTGATTTTACCAAAAGAACTACCATAACCGCCCCAAGCTACACCTAGAAACAAACTAATATGGTAATTTGCCTATGTTCCAACAAAAATAAAAACAAAACCATAAAAGTATCCACCAAAACCTACACTAGAGTATGCGGCAATAATTAATATATTCCTATGGAAATTGTCTCATGCCTTATAAGCTCCTAAAGTAAAATCAAGGTCACTATGTGACTAACGATAGCACTAGGAGGAAAAAAAAAAAACCACTGAAAGTAAAAGTCTTCAGCCTTAGTTTCAGCTACCTCTTCAAATCAGCATTACTCAATTAATATTAGATACAACATTTTTGGCTTGTCAGACCAGTAAGTCATGTTTTCCCACTGGCCAAAGCCAGCTGAAGAAACAACTGCTTGAACAAATTAAACGCTGTGACATGAAGCATTTGATTTGCAAGTCTGAGTACTTAGTTAAAAGGACTGGTGAACGTCTAACTGGGCAAAAGGAATGGCATCAATCATCCAAACAGGCTCACTTCTCCAAGCCCCCGAATGAACAGTAGTTGTAATAGCAAAAAGAAATAAAACAGTTTTGCTTTTGCTTTTATGTTTTTTTGATTTTTTAGAGCCAACTGTGAGAGTTCAGCAATGTATCAACAGCAGCAACGGACAAGGGAGAGCAGAAGAGTGGATGAAAGGTTCTTGCTGGACGTCTGTTCATCTGTTTCTGTAATGGCCAGAATATTGTGACTGGCGTATCAGGTGTTATGTCTTATCTCCTAAGATCCTTCACAGATTTACAATTCAGTCTACCTGAGAGCTCTATAACCACGTAAGAAAGCTTTCTTTATCTAGCTTGGTTGCAGCCAAAACAGATTCCATATCATTAAGGATGTCAGAACTCAGCGCTTCCTGCAGACTTGGCATCAGCTCCTCTCCTTCTATGTTCATTCCATCTCCTTCCAGTGTTCCAAGGTCCACATTTGTCCCAGGAATGGCTTCAAGGTAGTCTGGGAAACGGTTCTGCTGTGAAGGCAGGGTGCTTTGGTTTATGGTATCACCTAGTTGGAACAGATAGAGATTAATATGGACCTTCTAATAAAGCTAACATCTGAACTGTATCATATGAACATCCAGAAACCTGAACCTATGCCCAGAATTTATTTTAGGGTCAACAAGCCACAGATAACAAAATAACAATATAAAGTTTACTTTTGCCTCAACATTGGTTAGGATATTAACCAACAATTTCATGGCCTAGTACTAGGTACTGAGCACTGGATAATGAAGAGGATTAAAAAAAAAAAACCTCTTTAAAAAATTATGCAGCAGAATGAGAAAGAACAAGAATATCAACATCACTACCCTACTGTTTTTCAGACACAAACCAGCACCATGAAAGGAAAACTAGAATGCTAGAGACCTTCTCTTTCCCTTACATATTCTCTGGGGAATACTAACGCGATGTAAGGACTACAGGAATAGTCTATTACACTCTTGGAGATTCACATATATCATGAAGAGCAAATTCCTGGGAGGTCTCCAAATAATAATCATAATCATAATAAAAGTCTTGCTTCTAGGTTTCCAAACCCACCTAGCCAGAGTTTTTGTTTTTTGATTTTTTTTTTTGCATGTGACAACATTATCATTCCTCAGTACTTCAACAGAATATGCTTTTTGAAAAACTCAGAGTTCACTGGGTGCTATAGAGGTTTGAGAAGATTGAAAATTAAAACAGGAGCAAAGGGAAGTGAGGTACATGATAGGTTTGAAATGATTTCTAAGGATGATTTAAGATCTGGGTTAAATAGAGGAGGTGATGGTGTGAATTCTAGAGCACATGCAAGCCTCGGAGCTAGGTAAGTAATACAGGCATAAAAAGAAGTCGTGGGCTAAATTTGGAGCCAGCTAGCTATAGAATCGTTTCATTTCTTGCCAGTTCATGAACCAGCTGTCAAGTCCAGGGTAGTGGGCACCAGGAAAACCAAAGGAGAACTGGTTCCTACTCACCCATGTGCAGCAACTATTTTTTAGCTCTTGAAACACTTTTTTTAAAAAACAAACAGTAAGCAACTACTCTAACAATAAAGCACTTACTACCTAACACTGCCCACCTGCTTCCTAAGCCTGTAACAGGTAAGCTGGGCCAAACATCTGCAGAGAAAAAGAGTCAGGTAGGTGTTGAATTCAATAGAGAAACCTCTTTAAAATTAACAATGTAAATTTAAAATGGAGAGAAACACTTCTAATAGGGTTCTTTATTACTATGCTGCTAGCACATTAAAGTAAGTGACCTTATCAGTTTTAAGCTCCAACTGAATTAATGCTTACAGGACTGTAACTGAAGAAAAATCTGTGCTCACTGTGGCTTGTTAGACTTGATGATACTAGGATTGTCTATGAGAGTAGATCAGCCAGAATACCAACCTGTATCCATCTCATCGACGCTGTTCAGGAAGTCATCTGGCGTGCGAGGGACACTGTAGCTGCTCATGCTCAGTCCACTGTCCGTACTCTCATCTCGAGAGTGATAGGTGCCACTACAAAAAAATGATTTAAAAGCTGATACAGCAATTTATGAAACCCAGGGTAAGCACAATGATGTATCAGACTAATCCTCCATCTGCAAGTGCTGGCATCTTTCATAGGTACCAGTTCATTTCCCAGCTGCTCCACTTCCAAAGCACTTAGAAAACTAGCAAGCTCCTGGCTCCCAGTTCTGGATCAGCTCAGCTTTGACTGTTATGGCCACTAGGGGAGTAAACCAGTAGATGGAACACATCTCTATTTTTCCTTCTCTCTCTGTAAAAACCTACTTTTCAAATAAAAATAAAATTAAAAACACAAAAATTTTAAATTTCATGAAATCTGGGCACAGCATGGTAGCCTAGTCGCTAAAGTCCTCTCCTTCATGTGCTCGAGTCCTACAAAGGCACCAGTTCACATCCTGGCTGCTCCACTTCCCACCCAGCTCAGTGCCTGTGTCCTGGGAAGCCAGTAGAGAACAGCCCAAACCCTTGGGATGCTGCACCCACGTGGGAGAACCAGAACAAGCTCCTGTTTCCTGGCTTCAAATCAGCTCAGCTCTGGCCACTGCAGCTGCTTGGGGAGTAAATCAGTGGATGGAAGATCTTTCTCTGCGTCTCTCCTTCTCTTTAGATATGACTTTCCAATAAAAATAAATAAATCTTTACAAAAAAATTCTTGCAATCTAAGATAAAGATAAATGCCTGCTCAGTACCAATATGATCCCTAGGGGATGAGTGAAAGTCTTGTGTAATATCTGAAACAAGTTCCCTCCTTCATCACCGAGGATGAAGCTTATACTATAACGTGAAACTGTGATTCTAAAAAGACCAAGAACTCTTCAAAGGTTGCGTAATTAATAGTAAACAAGTGAAAAAAGACACACCCAATTAGTCTTCCTAGTTGACATAAAGTTCTCTGTATAGGTTTTCTTCCCATAACACCATTTGCCCCAAGTGGGCAGGGGTCCACATAACTCAGTTGTTTCAAGATTTAAATTCCTCAGTTGTGTGCACAGGGAGAGAGGTCAAAAATACAAACTCCAGGTGGGTGGAGCGACAAGCCTGTACTAGACTTAGGCTAAATTCCTCACTTTCATGCAGAGAACTGAAGCCAAGGAGAAATTAACCCAAAACAAAGAACCAGAATTCCTTTCTGGACTGGCCCAAAAATAGAATAAGCAACTGCCTATTAGATAAGAATTCCTGCAGTTTGATATCCTTGCTTCTGTCTGGATGGGAGAGGGGAACGCTTCAGCTCTAGCAAGACTTAAGTATTTTCAGATTCAGACACAAAACACACAAGAAAAGTTTCTAGAGAATCTTAGAGAAAAACATGAGCCAAGACAGATTTTTCTTACAAGCTCAATGAAAAGTTTCCCAAATCAACATACCAGTATGGTAAATAACCTGAACACATTGCTTTCATAATCAGAACACTTTGCTAAGCTAGCAGCACAAAGATACCAGCTAGCTCTCATTATAAAACTGTAGAATTCTACCAGTTCCAGAAAACCTTATGGAAAAGTACAAAGGCAAGGCAATTTTTATTCTTCTTCATGATCTCTAAACATAAATGGGAATTTTAACTTCTCTTCACAACTTGGATGCTTGATGCTTAAGTAACTACTTAACTTACACAAAAGTTACAAAACTCAAACAGAAAGCCCTGAGCTTGTAAATAAGCTTTTACACCTCGTCAAACTTACAAGGGTGACTACTCAAAATGATGCAAAGAGGCGTGAGAACAAAAAATACACCTTTATGAGCAAAGTACTTTGAGATCATAGAAAAGGGAGATTAATGAGGAAGGGGAAGGTTTCATAAAGGGGAATGTCTGAGCTGGCCTGAGGCTCTCAGAATAAAAGGGAGAATGGTGATACTAAACCACTAGCAAGAGTCTAAGCCAAGTTAGAACAATGTGTGTACAGTTTAAGGGATGCATTAAAAACTAACAAGCAAGCAAGAGAGTAACCATCAAGGATTATTCTATTTATGTATATATTTCTTATTTGAAAGGCAAAGAAATGTGAGTACCCAAACCCATATGCTGGCTTACTCCCAAATGTCTGCCACACAAGGTCTGGACTGGGCCAAAGACAGGAACTGTGAACTTAACTTGGGTCTTCCACATGAGTAATCATCAAACGCTGCGTCCCAAGGTCAGTATTAGCAAGAAGTACGGGTCAGAAGTTGAAGCTGGACATTGCAATATGGATGTGTGCATCCTAGTTTCTATTTTAGTTGGTAGGCCAAGTACTCACCCCAAGGATTAAAAAAAAAAAAAGCTACAGCCAGGTGAGTGCTTTAGAAGTAGGTTACTGCAAAGAATGTAATGTATGGTATGAGTCTTTTCTTAGACTAGCAATACTGATTAACTAGCACTATAACATCTTACCAGAAAACAGAACCTCAAATAAGCCCAGACAGCAGTCTAGTTCTCATATGAAAACTTACGTAAGAAGGAAGAGGGGACTGGCGCAGCAGTTAGGGCACCACTTAGGGAAGCCACATCCAGCACCAGAGTGCCTGATGTTAGCCCTGGCTATTCTACTGTCAAACCACCTTCCTACTCACACATACTCAGGAGTTCTGGGCTCCTGGCTTCTGCCTGGCTCAGTCCTGGCTGTTGAGAACATTTGGAGGGTGAATGAGCAGATGGATGATGTCTTTCCAATCTCCTTCTGCATTTTAAGTAAAGTGAAAATGAAAAGTAAAAACTGACAAAAAAATTTCAACAGGATATGCAGCTTATTCATTTTAAAATGGTCTAATGCTATCCCTGAGTCAATACAGGTTTCAATAAGATAGATAAGTACTACAATTGTATTCATCTGGGGGCCAGTACCATGGCTTAACAGGCTGATCCTCTCTACCCTGAAGGGCCAACATCCCATACAGGTGCTGGTTTGTGTCCTGGCTACTCTACTTCCCATCCAGCTCCCTACTTGTGGTCTGGGAAAGCAGCAGAGGATGATGCAAAGCCTTGAGACCCAGCATCCACATGGGAGACCTGAAAGAAGCTCTTGATTTGGTTCAGCTCTGACTGCAGTGGCCATCTGGGTAGTGAACCAGTGGATGGAAGATCTTTCCCTCTCTGTAAATAGGATTTTTAAATAAAAATATACGCACATTAGAAAAATCATACAGATCTCAAAGTTTATTTGGTATACACATATGAAAAAGAATCTGCAGTTAAGACCTTCCCAAAATAGCCTGAGTTTAACTTCCCAACTAAAATATTGGATGTCAGAAGAGCAAAAACAAACCTAAAATACATTTTAGGTCTCTTCCAAAATCAACTAGGTTATCAACACTAATCTTAACAGTGGGGAAATGATGAGAAATTCTATTACATTAAATATTTTAGTAGCTATGATGATAATTTCTTAGGTTCATTAAGTTTTCAAGTAGTGATAATTAAAAGGTAACATAACAGCTTCCCCAAACTATCTTAATTTTTCTAACGTGTGTTAGCTGAAATCAATTTAAAAATGAAAGACATGTATTGCCATACTTAAAAAAAACCCTAAACTATATATGAATTAGTCCAAGGACAAACCAACCCTCTTTGTGAGTCTGTGGCTAGCCTATGGGTCTGGCTAGTCCTGGGGCTGGGCTCCCATGCGGTAGAGTGCAGGCCTGAGGACACAGTGATGGGATTTTGGGGTGGAGGTGGAGGGGTGGTGGGGAATGTTAAGACCTTTGAGGTTTAGACCAAAGCACCAGCCCTTGTGGGATAGCAGATCTGGGCTAGTTAGTATTGACCAATGCTGAATACCACTCACCAGTGCACACTAAAGCTAGGGCTGGGGGCCTACCTAGCAGGGCTAGATCACAGCACTTGCCAAAAGAGTCACAACAGGAGATGGGTAATGTTAGGCTGGGCCATGACACTAACCATTACGCAAAGAACTGGTCTAGGGGCAGATACTGCTGGAGATGTGTTGGCCCACTCTGTGATCTACAATTGTAGCTGGTTTGTTTGGAGTTGGGGGTGATGACAGGCTGAGCTAGGCATGATCATAGAAACCCTCTGACACTCATGAGTACTGGGGTTGGGTACTGGCTGGGTTGGTCTAGGCTGTAGCACCCACAGACACACCCAAGAATATGGTGTGTGGTAGGCCAGGCCACAACACCCACCACTCATACAAATGCAGGACAGAGGGAGTAGCCTATGACTGTAAGGGCCTAGTACCCATGGTTATGGGCGAGATCTGGGTCCGGGAATGGGTTTGATGGGTGAACTAGGGAAATTCCTGACAGGCCATTGTTCCTGCTCAAGAGCATGTGATTGAGACCTGGAGGTTGGTCAGACCAGCCAGGTAGCACCACCTGTCTGCATGTGTGGGGGGTGGTTTTGGAAAGGGGTGGATCAGGCAGGGCCAGGCCAACCGTAGCAAGTGCACAAGCCAGGCTGGAATGTGGGGCATGCTGGGCGAGACTATTGCATCTGCTGGTTTGCATGAGTCAGGGATGGGAGCAGACAGGGCAAAGCCAGGCGGCAGCATCCGATGGCAAAGGTTAAGGCAGGAGCTTGCAGAGCTGGGTCTGAGCAACCACTGGTATGTGCAAGATCTGGGGCTAGGAACAGGCCTGGTTGGGGAGCTAAGAGGATGCCCCAGCTAGGTGTGGTTCCCGTTGGTCAGCCTGAGAGCTAGAATGGGTGTGGTAGTTTGCACTGGATGTGGCTGCAGTGTCCCTTAGCATGGGCATGACAGGGTCTGGGGCACGCCACATTGGGCTAGACTCCAGTATCCACTGGTATTCGTGATCGCCAGAATGGGTGTAGGACAAGCTGGGCTAAATTTCTGCTACCACTGGGCCACATGAGAACTGTGTCAGGGAGTAAGCTAGGTGTGGCTAAGTTTTAATACCCAATAGTAAGAACTGGATTGGGTTTGTGCCAGTTGGGCAAGGCTCCTGTTCCTACCGGGACAGGAAATAGACTAACTCAGCCTGGGCCAAGGACCAACTGGATGCACGACATCTGTCACTAAGTGAGACCCAATAGAGGAATTTGGGGAACTCCTATGTCAGGGCGCATTTCCTGCAAGAAACAAAGCAAGGAGCAGCTCAGAGCAGACCAGGTTGTAGTACCTGTGTGGCTCAGGTATGAAGGCAAGCCAGGCTGAACCAGTTCATAACATCCACCAGCAGGTCTGATAACCAGGATTGGATATAGGATAGTTGGTTCTGGCCCTATCATCAGCCAATTTACATTAAGGCCAGACTGGGGGCTGACTGCGCCAGGCTGGTGAGCAGCTCCAGCCAGTGCGAGCTGCAATGGGAGTAGACCGGGCTGGGTCAAGCTATAACATTTGCCGGCAATTGCTGAGGAAAATTGGGCCACATCAGACTGGGTCACAGTGCCTACCAGCACATGTGAGACAAAGACAGGGGGTGAACCTGGTAGGGGAGCAGTGGGCACTCCACTGCTGGGTCACTGCTCATGCTGGCAAGCGTGAGAACTAGAACTGAGGACAGACCAGGCTGGGCAAGGTACAACATCTATTGGCCTACACATGAACTGAGTTAGGGGAAGAGCCAGGCTGGGCTAACCAATTGTATTCACAGGTACTGGCATGAGCCAGAATAAGGGCAGGTGGGTTGGGCTTTGCTGCAGCATCAGCTAGCTGGCAAGTGCTGAGACCGGGGGCAAGTCCTGTCAAGACAGACTGCAGAACTACCTGGTAAGTGCAATATCTGGGACAGGGAGTAGGTCCATTGGGGAGTGGCTCCTCTCTAACATGCTACCCCCACTGGTGAGCATGTGAACCAGGACTGGGGATGGGCCTGACTGGACAGGCAGTGACATCTGCTGCAATGAGTGTGGGCTTGGAGGGTAGAGTTGGTTGGGTTGAGTTAGGCTTCAATGCCCAGTGAAACATATAAGACCTCAATGGGATGTGGGGCAGACCAAACCAATCCACTGCAGATGCTTGTAGGCACAAGAACCAGAGCTGGGGAGGGGGACTGGTCTAGTAGGGGTTATTGGGGGTCATTGTGATTGAACTGTAGCTCCACCTGCACTACGTATGGGCTGAGCGTGTCTTGGGCAGGGGTAGGCTGGGCTGCTGAGGATGAAGGGCAGAACAAACTGATCAACTACCCAGTGAAGTTTGACAGCAAATTTCTGGGTCAATGGAGACTCGGCTGGACTATGACAGCCAACTGACCTTGAAGGGATTTCCTTATCTGTGGAGTGGTGATATCAGCAGCAGCTCAGAACTATCAAAACTACATGAGCAGAACCCTCAGAAAATGCTGCACAATGGAGACCCTGGACTGACAGCAGGTGGCAGTTTCCCATCCCTAGGGGAATGTGGCAGTTGGGAAGCTGGGCGTGTTTTTTCCTCTTGTATCCCTCTCTTCCCCATATACAAGAATAAGAAAATACATAAATAATGGTCTCAGTCTCAACCATTATCCTCTGCTCCTCAGTCCTTCCCACACTGATCAACTATGTCAAAATAATCAAAAATAAGTTATTTAAATTTAAAAAGTTATTAAAGATAAAAAATGAAATACATGCATCCCCATATTTGTTAAAATCAAAACTATAGATCTGAATTTCAGCCACATCTTATTTTATCAACAGTTTACAAATCTGAAAAGAAGGAGGGAGGAAGGTAGGGAGGGAGAGACAGAGGTATCCCATTTACTAGTTCACTGCTGAAAAGGTCACAAGTCAGGGTTGGGCCAGGAACCAGGAACTCCTTCTAGGTCTTCCATGTGGATGAGAGACTCAAGTGTTTGAGCCATCATCTATCGCCTCCCAAGCTCACCAGCAGAAAAGTGATATGAAATACAGTAGACGCAACTCAATCAGGCACTCTGACACAGGATGCAAGCGTGGCAAGTGGCAGTTTTACTGGCCAATATGCTTGCTCCACATTTTAATTTAGAATGGCCGTCTAGGCAAAGATTATGACTTGCTGCAGCTTGTGGTTTCCAACAGCAGTTGAAATACACCATTACAATCTTCCTGGAAGCCAAGACTTGTGGTAACTCACTAAGAAGTGAGGTGAGTTATGTCGTTTTCAAACACTGCCATTAATCTTAATGCACTTTTTGAAAGAGATACATTCTTACTTATTACAAACTTAAATTATGCATAGCTCTCAAAAACGGGAAGTCTTACAGTGCTGTTCTGTGAAATTTCGTAGATGGAACATTTGTGCAGAAAATTCCTTCTAATCATATTTACTATGCAAAAATGGATTTAAGATACAGTTCTTGTGATTTCACAGAAAAGCATGCACATGTTCCTTCATGATTCCGTAATTTTAAGTTAACTGTTAATCAATGGTACAGGCAGAAGCAAACAGTGACTTCTGACTATGTGTCCTCTTCACAAGTCTCAACAGTTCACCTCCTCCAACAGGAGACGGTTTTTAATCCTCAACTTTTATTGGATAGCTTTATTCACAGCTATAATTTTTTGGTTTCCACACATACTCAAAACAGCCTATTACAAAAGCATGATCTTAAACCTAGTTTTTTTTTTTTTTTTCAGACACTGGACAGTAGCATCTTTACTAACCTGTTAAGAAAGGGATCTGAGCTATTGGTTGTCATTGTTCTCAATTCCTGCGACATCCCAGGAGAAGATACCGGATTCTGAGTGCCACCATCTTGTTCCAGTGTTGGCAACTGGCTACGGAGAGCCAATTCCTTTAAAAACAAACACACACAAGAAAAACAACATAAACATGATCAATCTATCCTTTAACAAATCTGTTAAGTTTAAAGAATTAACGTTTAGTAGATTCCTGTGCACAAAAAATTGAAGAATTAGTATCTGTTTCAAATGATTCACTTCCCAATCAGAATGAACAAGTTCTTTTATCCACTGGAAGTGATTAAAAATTAGGTTGCTTCAATTCAAAGTTTGTTGAGTTATATTAATCCAAAAACATACATACTTCACTGCTTATTTTTATTCTGCTATTTTCCTTTCTTTGGCAGATCCTAACAAATCCTCCTTTGGAGTACTCTGGTCTTTCAAGAGTGATTGCTGAAAGTTAATTTTTACTCACCAATTCTCATATAGTTTTTGCATCAGCATTAAGAATAAGAACATCTGATGATGTAATATAAGATACCAATTCCCCTACAGCCCACCATCATTTTGTATTTTGATATCCTGTCTCATTTTGACTTCAATTTTTTTTTTTTTACATCAACTAGACACAACATGTTTTATCTTCCAGAAAGGAAAGAAAAAAAAAATGGCATCAAATATAAAAACATGAATCTCAGGCTTCTCCACCATAGCCACAGTATTTAAAATAGGGTAAATTTTTTTCAGGGACATCCCATAATTTCTAAGCAAGATTCTCCCTAGAGCATAAGTGAAGGCAATGCACTATTACTCCGATGGTTCTACACGGTCTCTCTCAACAGGTTTCCAAGGCCTCAGCTCCTATACTTGTCCAGGACCTCCAGATCAGCTCCTCTCACTCTGACCAATTCCCACACCTTCATTACTACTGTCCTTTTTATCTGTTCACTACTTCCTTCTCTCCTGGGAATTTTCCCTGTGCCTTTCAAGCTCTCATATACATACCAAGGACAGAGAATCCTATCACTCCACTAAGCTGGATTGCTTGAAAACAGATTTTTCAAGCCCAGTGCCTCACCCCCACGGCAGCTTTCTAGAATTCTCCTGAGACACAGCTGTACTGTATCCAGCCTTCTGACCCTCATAAACACCGTGGAGTCCAAGAGGTATGAGAACACACTCCCAGTTCCATACTGTCCCTTCTAGAATATCTTTCCCTCATAGAAAAATGCTGTTCTGGAAATGTTGTTGTTTATACAGGGTTTTTGAACAAGAAGGTCTTGAGATAATTCAGAGGGCATGTGGACTTGGATGGCAAAAATATAACACTTTTAACATTTGCTAACTTATAATTTTGCACTATCCTCAATTACAAATCTAGTGTTCAATTTATTTGACTTATCGTTAATGATAATGTATTCTTCATATCATGTTGTAGTAGTTATTAAGTACATTAAAATATTACTTATGCTCATTATTATTTCAGTATAATGGTAACTTAAGACATGTTTCCAGAATTTATTATTTCTAAACTAATGAAAAAGCATAACTGCCTCCTAAGGTCTGCCCTGCAACAAAGTAGGAGTCAAACACAGGTACCCTGATAAGAGATGGTGGTATTCTACCATTGGCCAAATGATCAACCCACAAACTATAATGACCTTAGCAGTAATTCTTTTTGGTAAACTCATACATTTTCCTCATATACTTGAAGAAGCACGATAACCTGAGTGTCCAAGCAGTACATGCCACCTTCCCTTAAGCTATTTCATATTACAGAACAGAAATTTAGAGCTTGGTTCAGACTCTAACCAATCTTGGCATTCCCAAAACCTGGCTAACATGCTTCAATATTAAGTGTAATAGTTTCTTTTATACTTATTTTATATATTTAATGTGTTACATTATACTTATTAAGTACAACAGTTTTTTAGAAAAGCAAAACTGTTTTAAGCTATTTTTATTTGAAAGGTGGGACAGAGAAAAGATAAGAGATCTCTGGCCTGTGGGTTCACTCCCCAAATGCCCAAAATGGCATGGTTTGGGCAGGACTACAGCCAGCAGCCAGGAATTTCATCCAGTTTCCCACATGGGTGGCAGGGACCCAGCACCTGAGTCACTGCCTGCTGCTTATTATTAGGAAGGTGGATGGGAAACGAAAGACGCAGTTCCATACACTATGATATTGGACACAGGCTTCCCAAGCAGCAGTTCAACCTGTTGCACTGCAAAGACTTTATTCTTTAAACTTTGATTTATTTTTACTTATTTGAAAGGCGGCAAGAGAGAGACACACAGAGTGATCTGTATCTTACTTTCCAAATGCCTGTAACAGCCGAGTGGTGCACCAGGCAAGAAGCCAGGAGCTAAGAACTCAATCCAGATCTCCCACATGGATGGTTGCAGATCAACAGGAAACTGGAATGCGAAGTAGAACCAGCACTCAAGCTAAGGCTCTCCAACAAGTTATGCAAGTGTCCCAAGTGGCATCTTAATTCTGTGCCAAGTGCCCATCCTTAAATAAACTGCCAATATCCACAAAACATCCCATCCCATGTTTAAATCCCTGGTTCTCCTTTAACTTGTGATAATGACCACCACATCACCACACTGCAATCACTAACCCAGTCAGACTCGGGAACCAGCTAAGAGGTCTCTCTCTTGGGAATACTATTCTAGTTTCTGATGCCTTTTCCTTTCAAACCCATTTCTGCATTACCTCACTTCCAGTTAGCTACTTAATTCAGTTTTGGCCAACAGGTCCTATGTATTCCAGTCTGCTGGTTCCCTTATGGGCTTGTGTTTTTTTTTTTTTTTGCTTCCTCCTAACTTTGAACTCATGAGCAATGACTTGAAGTAGACACAAGCACCTTTCAGATTCTTAATGTATACCTCATGTATATATACTTTTATCCCAACCTAGCAAATCCTAACTTTAAATTAACGCTAAAATGTGCTTAACTTTATTTTTTTATACTGAAACTAATGAGAAATATTAAGGGGAAAAAATACACACTACTTACAAATTAATGGTATTTAGCCCTGAACTGGTTCTTACTTCCACTCCTTGACTTCATGTGTGTATTTGGCCAGTACTCCCAAGATGGCACAAATGCCCTCTTAAGCCCTTTCAGTCGAGTCAATTTTTAGCTTTCCATTTAAATAAGAACACTGGCACAAACTCATTCTGTTTCTTTGTGCCACCTTTTGCTATTCCACTTAAGAGCATCTTCATTCACACTCATCTTCATAACTTTTCTTCAGGTCTCAGAAAAATGAGTTTGCTTTCCTTCCTCCTCCTGCTAAAGATATCATCACATTCTCAGTGTTTCTGGGGATATTTTGTCTTAATTTTCTCTCCATCATCTCCAATCCCAACAGGTGTCCTATTCATTAAGTTAACTGTCCATCTCTTATTTCATTTTTATCAAGGAAGGTATGTTTGTATTTGTATTTGCCTAAATTTAAACTTTTTTCAGCACAATGTATGTGACACTAACCCATAAATATTTACTGAAATAAATGATTGGTTAACTAATTTGCTGCAGACTAGACTCTCAATGCTTTTGCTATCTTAAATCTTGCCAAAACGCTTTTTCAAAGGTGATAAATTTTCACTTTTTGCTTTAAGAACTGAACATGTACTGTCAGCAGACAATGTGGAACAATCCAGGTTTAAAAACAGGTAACTTAAGAGACATTAGTAAAAAGGCAAACCTGGGCTGGTGCTGTGGCATAATTAGTTGATTTGTCACCTACACTGCTGGCATCCCATATAGTTCCAGCCCCAGCCACTCCACTTTCAATACAGCTCCCAGTTAATGCACTTGGGAAAGCAGTACAAGATGGTACAAGTTCTTGGTGCCATGCACCCTTGTGGGAGACTTGTGTGAAGTTCCTCACTTCAGCAGGCCCAGTAACTCCTCTATAATCTACTTTTCAAATAAATAAATCTTGGGAAAAAAAAAAAAAAAGAACAAGAAGCAGCAGGGGGAGTGATTTTAAATTGCCTGAGACAATGTTCAAACACCTGAAAGGACTACCAAAAAGATCTTGTCAGTAAATCTATTTTAGAGCCATGACTAAGAGTAAGTAACCTATGAATTTTCCTAAACTTAACAGAGAAAATCAATGGAAACAGGTTACTTTACTGGGTGGAAGCAGGATGCATAAATTATTAATCAGGGCTGGCACTGTGGCACAGCCGATAAAGCCACCACCTGCAATGCCTTCATCCCATATGAGTGCTCCATTTCCAATCCAGCTGCCTAGAAATGCTGGGGCCCCTGCACCCAAGTGCGAGATCTGGGAGAGGCTCCCGCCTCCAGCCTGATCCTGCCCTGGTTATTTTGGCCACTTGAGGAGTAAACTGCCAGATGGAAGATCTCTCTCTCTCTCTTCTTCTCTTCGTGCAACTCTTTCCAATAATTATACATACATACATTTCATTTTCATTTCTTCAGGATACCTTAATCATTAACAACTCCAGAAATATACTAAGTTTATCTGGACTACTATGTCCACTATGTTTCTCTTAATTTTTCTAAATGGTATGGACCAAACATCAAGGTTACATGGGGTCAAGATACTTTAACTACTAGACAGAATGAGCTTGAAGATTCTTTTCCATTCTACGGTTAATTGTATGCTAATTAAATGAGAGAAAGGACGTATGAGAATAGCCAATTGTTTGTAGAGGGATACCGGCCCCTAAAAGTTCACTATATAAAGTCAGAATACTCATGTTTGCCTCTGTGAAACAAGCTGGGAAGTTTTCCACAGTCTAAGCTGGAACCATTGGCTTTCCTTTTAATGTAGATAGCTGATTCCAAATGTGTCCCAGATTAGCTAAGATTTACAAGCTCAATGGGAAAAGCCACCACATTTTTGCATTATTACAGAAAAAAATGTGCTAAAAATACTTGCTTTACTTAGAAAAAGTCAAACACTCTAAAAGAACTATTTGACCTCTGAAATACAGAACAGAGGCATGATTAAGCTTTGGCTGGATTTCCTATAACTCGCTTATTTCCCCATTTTTGACCGTCTGTCAAACTATTTATTCTAACTACCTTTGGGAAAAGAAAACTTGTATTTTTAGCTCAGTACT